TTATGGGCCGGTAGTTTTCCTTTGCATTCCTGTCATCCTTTTTGTATACTGGGGCCCAATGCCCATACTTCCATTCACTAGGCCATGCATTCTTGTTAATACAAGAATTGAACAAGGTGGTTAGTGGAGCGGATAATTCATTAGCACCTGTTTTTAAAGCCTTTGAAGGAATTCCATCAGTGCCGGTGGCTTTGTTTATGTTCAGCGAATCGAGAACTGCAAGGACTTGTCCCTGTGTAACCAATTCGATTTCGATGGTCTGAATGGAATTCCTATTTTCATGTTGTATCCTCTGAACACAAGGATGGTCTCTAAAGTCCTCTATTGACTTTCTTTCAATCGCTGTACCGCCACTGCCATCCGCCAAGGTAGCAAAATGCTCAACCAATTCCTCAGCCACTTGTTGTTGATTCGTTATCATACTGCCGTTTATTTTTAAGTGGATGTCGTTTCTTTCAGTACAGCTCTTAGAGCCCAAAAATGGCTTGAAAGTTTTGAAGAACGCCTTGGGATTGATTTTCAAATCGTTTGACTTATTATACCAGTACTGTTTGATGGCGATTCTTCTTTGTTTAGTGGCCTCATTTCTGGCTTTTCTGGCTTTCGTAATTCCCAATTTTCTGGCGTTTTGTCTTTCAAGTACTTGTCATTTGCTTTACGTTTAGCTCTAATCGCACTTTTCCAATGAGACGTCATGTAGGGCACATCTTTATCACGCACACGCATTTTTTTCACAGGTGCCACTTCGTCCAGTATATTGTTCATAAGTGCATTCCACACGTAAACTTGATCGTCGACGTCATCAAACAATTGTCCAACGTGCCATGGGGCAGAGGACAAAAGCTGTTTATAATGTTCAGGGTCAAAGTTCTTATAGCTCCTAAATGTGATGACCTTTGGTTTGTTGTGACTTATTTTCTGCTTCAGGACACCGTAAACAAGGTCGTGATCACTTAAGCAAGGATGGTAATTACCAGATAGCTGGAAGCTATCCGGTCTATTAGTGAGCAAAACATCTATTAAACTCTCTGTTATAATTATTCCACGCTTTTCTATTCTTGTTGGCTTAGTAATTAGACATTCAAAACCTTGTTCAACTTCCAAATCGAGAAGCAGTTTACCTTCAGGTTTGTCAGGGCGAAGTCTGTTCAGATTTAGGTCGCCAGTAACTACAACAAAATTTCCGTTCAAGCTTGCCCAGTTACAGACATAACTGAGTTCGCTTTCCAACAGTGTTTGATATTCGCCACACAGAGCTCTCGGGGGACGATAAATACCAACAATTACCATATTGTCCATATCTGTTTTGATTTCGAAGGCAATTATTTCCAGTGTCTTAAAGGATTTATCAGGTTTAAGCTGTGTCCTGATTAGCGATTGAGATATTAAAGCCATAATAAGGGTAATAAGGGTTATTGGGTAATAAAGAACGCAAATATACCTTTGAATTACATGCTTGAGCTCCCATTGGTCGAGATTTTGCAAGGAAACGTCTCCAAAAGTACCTTCCAAGCATTCCTTTTAACAGTGCATGGGTTGTTTTCACTGCCATCTTCTTCTGTATACAGTCACCAAGAGCAAATCAGAATGTACGCCTTGTCAAAACTAAATAAGCAACACGAACAAACCCGGGTGAATCTCCAAAAGCATATAAATGAAGTACAATTTTCCTACGGAAACTTATTTCCAAACCCTGACGTCTGACCATTTCATAAAAAAAAGGCAGTGTCCGGTGGAGGTTGCAAAGGATATTTTGTTCCTTCACTTCTGACCACAACCATGTATCTTCTGGCCTGTAACCACGCACGTGTGCAGACCTTAACGCATGATCAACCCTTGAACATCTACACAATATTTGTGGGATATCCTGGAACAGGTATGTTTAACAGACTTACAGCTGGTGGACTTTCAATCATGACTGATACTTACAAAACTCTTTAATTTTAGTCTTCGCTAACTAATGGTCTTTTTCATATTATCTCACAGGCAAATCATGGGCAATTCAACATGCTTCTCAAGATCATCTCGAAGTACTAGATTACACTTCATTCATCATTTCCACAACCACGTGCTCGGGTTTAGTGAAGTTGCTAGCGACGCAAAAAAAAAGGAATCATCCTCTCTCGCTAGGTTTTTGATATACTGAACAAACTGATGAAGTCGGACGAGGACAATGCAATTGGCGATGTTCAGTTGCTTTGCAAATTGTTTTCCGGTGAGCGTTGCTCATACCATTATTTGACTGAGGAGAGTAGAGTGATCCCACCAAATACTCTTCATAGGACTCAAAGACAATTTCACAACCTTGGCTATCCTTGCAAATCTCATTGACCAACTTTTCCTTAGAAGGACAGTATATCATATTTAGGGCAACTTTGAAAATCTAAAATCGCTTTTTCGATGAACGCAAATTAAAAGACTGATTGAATTTAGCACTTTAAACTATTACATTAGCATATCACTTAGGCAACAAGATACATTCGCGATTACAGTTTTATTTTTATTTTTGGTCTTCTGTCTGTTTAGGCGCCAGTACTCATTGGACAAAAACAATAACTATCAACACAAATTGTGAATCCAGTGACCACATAATATCGTATCAACGAATACAGATTTCAGACGGCTAAAATATTCCTTTGTTTACTTTTAGTTCCTAAAAGAGATAAAAAAACACTACCTGTGATAAAACGATCGAACAGCCCAGTCAAGGATTTATCAAAGATCAGGTGTTGCTTTCGCTGGGACCAGTGGTGAGCTACCGCGCATTTAAGCACGGAAAACCATCCGCAAAGAACATAGCAGAGGCAGAATACTACAAAGCCAAAGACTCCCTACAAGAAGATGGTTTCAGGAGGATAGTGCAATTTAGTGTTCCAAAGGCACGCGGCCAATGCGAAGTTTTTGTGAAAAGCAAACCAGAACCCTGGCCTAACAGCGCAACTGTAACCGATCCCCTGAATTTCACTTAGTTTTCGACTGTGTGACTGCAGGAGCACTAGTTATATGTCTTCTGAATTTCACTTAGTTTTCGACTGCGTGACTGTGGGAGTACTACTTACACATCTTCTCAATTTCACTTAGCTTTCAACTGCAGGACTGCGGGACTGCGGGACTGCGGGACTGCGGTAGCACTAGGACATACATCCCCTGAATTTCACTTAGCTTTCGACTGCCGCACTGTGGGACTGTGGGAACACTAGTCATACATCCTCTGAATTTCACTTAGTTTTCAACTGCATGACTGCGGGATCCACAGATTTGTGTTGTGAAAAAAATGGCCGGGCATTCTAGAATAGCTCGGTTGTTTTTTACTGCTACTGATTTCAGATAGATGTATTTCCAGGTAGCAAAAAATTAATGTGGGACTAACTTTATATTCAACTAGCCTGAGACCAGATTCCGCATTGGGGGAAAAGGAGAAAAATATTGGCAAGTAAAGCAAGCCGAGGTAGTCTGGGGAGGGGAAATGGTGGCGAAGCATGGAGACACGCCTTGAATGCCACCGATCTGCCCTCCAGTGATTAACTTGTCATTGCAATGTCAACATGTCAATTTCTCATCATGGATGTTAGCGTGAGCTTATTATGTCGCTTTTGTAAAAAAATATTTGAATTTGAGATGAGGTTAGAGTACCAACTGGAGTAACACCAGCTTCGGCAAAGAGAAATAAAGACGTTTCACAGGAAAATGTGCTGCACGTGAACAGTCGAATAGATCCAGCTAGATTGCAGTTCACCCCATACTGCTCATTAACATTCCTTATTATAATGTAGCAGACAAAATATTGCTATTGGTAGAGTTTATATTCCACGGAGGAAAAAAGGGGAAGTTTAGCACTGTGTGCAACAGACTATTCAGTTTGAGTGTACTCTTATTGAATTTGTAATCCATTTTACTAAGTTCAAAATCGTGTAAAAGTAAGTAATAATCATTCTCCCTGATTTTCCTCAACCACTGCTATCTTTGTTCAAGCCTGTGAGCAGAGGTTTCTCTCTTGCATGCATGGCTTTAGCATTTACAAAGTCATTTGCGTCGCAGTTGTGTGTTTGATTTGTTAACTATGGACTGACAAGAGATGTGAACGATTTCTTTAAGGCTAAAAGCAATGCAAGAGAGAAACACAGGGTCTGTGCCCTTCTTCAGAGACAATTTTTCATGACTTTTTCAGGCTTCAGATTGATTTTTCCTGAACTCCAAAATTCGCATTAACCCTCTCACTCTCAGAAGTGACATAATTTATTTCCACTGGATATAACTTCAACCAGTTTCAACACATTGTCAGACATACAAATGAGGACAACTAGGGAAAATATAAGATACCAACTACTTTCATTGAACTCTAAATTCTCAGTAGTAGCATAGGAAATCCATTCAAGGCTGCCATCAGGAACTGAAGCCAATTCTCGGGTATCTTTAAAAGAATGTCTAAATGGTTGTGTTTTCACAAGCACTTTTTCAGGTCGCTAAGCGAGTAACAGCCGGAAATCTCGTGAAAACAGTTGCTTTTTCAATTCGCTTAAAATTAAGCAAGACAGCTTAATTGAATAAAATTATCATTAAATTTAAGCTACCAAGCCAGTTAGCTTAAGCGAATCAGCAATTATGTTCCGCCATCGAAAAGCAACTTGTGATCATACATTTGACACGCCTGTCAAATTGGAAATAAAACATGTTCTATTTTTGTCTTCTAAGACACTTCTTGGCAAGGCTAAGCAAAGCGATATGAATGCCGGCAATTATCCTTACAATCCATGAAGCGTTCCTCCATCAAGCCAACGATCAGTCCAACAATGTGAGTTTCCTTAACCTTGAAGCATTAGAAATGCAAAGTATTCACCTAACGTAACAAATCGATTGTTTTGGGTCACCCTTCATTATTCCACCAGTAAGTGACCAGTGTCGGTGATGCTGTGCGTGGACCATACATTTTTCGCGACTGACAGAGTGAATTTTTGCTGCAACAACCCATATTTACTCGATCAGATTTACCAACAGTAGTCATGACTCAGTACCAGAGTTCAAGCCTTGTTGAAGACGATTCAAGCGAAGTGAACAATGCCGGTATCAAAAGCCGTTCTCCTAACTGGTCGGATGCAGAGATCCATTTCCTTATCGCCACGTGGAAGGATCACCATCCCATCAGCAAGAGACATAACGCCGCTGTTTGGGAATCCATTGTGAAACAACTAAATAATCTGTTGAGAGAACAGGGGATTATGTCCATTCGCACAGCATCCCAATGCAAGTCTAAGATAAAGAATTTAGAAGATGAATACAAACGTGTGAAGGACCATAATAACATGAGTAGGAACAATCGGGAAACTTTCACCTACTATGAAGATTTAAATGAAATTACACCAAAAGCTGTAATTGAATACGGGTTTGAAGACGACAGGCTACCCATTAATATCTGTCCCTCATGTTCTGGTAAGAAATCTACCCCTTCAATGCCAGAAACAGAGGAAGAGCTATCAGACTCCAGTGTCGGAGACGAAGAGGGTCAATTGCTTGCGAATGCACTTTTTAGGTGTGAACTGGCTTCCTCCAACAAAGGGAAGAAAACTTTGGCTAGTGCCCTGAGTTCTTCCAAATGACAAAGCCCAAGATCTACTGCCTCTAGTGAAGCTGGGGATGAGCATCTCGCATTTTCTGAGTTGCTTTTTGTTAGACGTAAACGTCCTGGAAGTAAGGCCTGTGAGAAAGCATCTGGTAAATCAAACCAAGCAACAGCTAAAAAAGAGAGAATAAAGTGGCCACAGCTCCAATGATACCGAGTATTTCGCTTTTTTCAATGAAAGCCAGAAACATGACCACGACTTTTTTGAAAGGCTGGCTGAAACGGAGGTGGAAAGGGAACTAAAAAGCCAGGAAATGGTGTTTGCAATGGTCAAAGAAGTAGCAAAAATCTTTAAGGGACAGTAAAATACAAATAGAACTATTACATTGGACAATGGACTTGGATTTTAATGAAGTCCACAAACTGTTTTATATCATTGTTTCGTCTGCAGAAAATTATAGCAATAATTTTCAACATTGATCACAAATTAAAGAAAACACGAATCAATTTCATATCGCCAATATAGCCAGTGAATTTACTTTTCACTTGGGTCATTACGAATTTGGGTTCAGGATTTTACATTGACAAAGGCTAGCAAAATGTTTCTTCTTCAAGGAATGTAAAAATATGAAATTATGGAAAAAAGACAATATCATTGCCATTTTGTCAAAATTTGTTGAATTAACTGATGCTATGTTTCATTTACTAATGTGACTGTTACAGGTGCACTTTGTTGATAAAATTGTTTATTAAATAAGCACAAGTTACTGAAGAAAAGCCTCCTTTATCTCGTTTCTTAGTCGGGAACCTTCACTGTTCACGTGGCCTGGGAGTGGGAGGAGCTCGTCTGGTTTATCGTGCTCTGGGTCCACATACACATCATCTCAAATGTCAATGCAGATATTATGCATAACACAACAGGCTATCATTGTCAGTGGTACTTTGTCCACCGCTTCGTCAAGATTGACTAAGAGACAACGTTATCCCCCCTTCAACATCCCAAATGCCTGTTCTATCACCACCCTTGCCCAACTAAGTGCTTTGTTAAAATTTTGTTGACTTAAGGTGACTGCTCTTGTTTCCGGATAGGGCTTCATACACCAGTTAGTAACCTTATAGGCGGGATCAGAGACCAGTAGAGGCCTTATTTCTTCACCGCCTCCAGTATGAACAGCAGGAGATAATAAGATCCTCCCGCCTTCCACTTCCTAGTGAACTCATGCACAGAACTCTTGCATCATGGATACTCCCTGCATAACCAGTACTCACATGTATGAAATGTCCTCGTGCATCAGCTACACCTTGTAACACTGCACTGTGGAACTGCTTCCTATTGTAATAGTCATTAGAGTAGTTTTGGGGCGCAATAATGGGTATATGGGATCTGTCGATAGCACCAACAACTTGGGGAAAGCAACTTATTTCTTGGAACGCCTCAATTGCTTTTCTCGTTTCAGCGTCTCCTTTTGGGAAATTGATAAAGTCCTTAGCAGTCATCAGATGTGCTGAGCAAAATTCGTCTTTTAGTTTTAGCCAGAACATCTGCCAACACCAAAAACTAGACCCATGGTCCTATACGAATTTCCAGTGGCAATCCGCTACAAAGCAACAAGTCTGAAAGGCTTAGGGTTAGAAGTAGGGTTTGCATGTTTGTGTCCTTTCGCACCAGATGGGGTCCAACCAAATTGCAAACAAACTGGAACATTTGCCTCGAGATACAGGAATGTTCTGCTTGCCAAATATTATTTGCTTTTTGGTTCAAAACTGTATGCTCGAACCAGAATTGTGGCCTTTCCAGAACCCACACGACCTTCCTTGTACGGCATATATTCCTCTGAGAATGAAAAAAATACGCCTCCGTTCTTCTTCTCCTGTTTCAAACTGCAAGCAATCTCAGCCTTTGCTGAAATCGGTTCCTTCGGCGAATGAAAACCAAGTGCCTAAACCCATTCATTATAAGAAGAAGGACGAGCAAGAAAGGTTCATCTGCGTCTCCCGCCATAATTTTGATTTACCGCGTGAGCGATCTCCTCAAATTACTAAGATGAAATATAATCTTACTCGTCGAAACACTTATCATTTTTAAGCTGCTCAACGGAGTTAGTAAACAAAGCACCTTGAGGAACGTTGAGCGACAAAACCGGCGGTGTGAAAACACAACCAATGTGTGATTAAATGAGTGAGAAAATTAGGAGCTATACCAAATGAAGACTAATGCTGCAGAAAACAACAACTGTATTAAAGCCATTGTCACTGTAAAAAACCTGTTTTTTAATTATGTCAGTTTAACGGGTCTGGATATTGATTTGACAGTATCTTCTAGTGAGAGTAGACTTGTTCTAGAAAGAAAGCGTCCAAATTTCTCCTTGTGGCTTCGTTTGCAAGTGTGAGGAGGGTTGATGTTATCAGATTTCGAGTTTGAATCAAGGCCATTTAGAGACTCATGAAAACTGATATACTTACTTTTTTCGAAAAGAAAAGGATTTTGCTAGAACAGTTTACATCAGATTACTTATCTACAATGGAGGACAAAAATCCTTGGAACGGTTATGGAAAACCTTCCTTCCACATCCTTAACTTATCAAATGTTCAGATGTAGCATAATACACTTCTCTAACCACTTGGATACCGCGACTGGCCCTTCCCTCCCCCTCCAAACAATGTTGGGATGAAGAAACACTTTTATGACAGGGTTAAGTGTACAGGGGTGCACAAACTACAACATTGCTTGGGGGAGAGGGGGAAAGGGGGAAAATTAAGGCAGATCGTGTTAATTGTCCTGAGAATTTTTTGCTCCATTGTCTGAATACTACCTAACGCACAAAAGTACTATTAACGTTTTGAAAAATAGAAAAAAACACCATAACACAAGGAATTGGTATTTATAATGCAAAAGGATATATGGCGTGACCAAAAGTAATGTTTGGGCGAGCTTTAGCAGAGTTCAAAAACGGTATCGAGTGTGACGTTGTTCAACTTTCCATGAAAAATTACTCTTCATCTGGTTTGGGAAAAATAATTTGCATATACACGCAAGTAAGGTTTTCATCCAACAAATCGCAGCAGAGTAAAGGGCTATTGCCTGGTACCTGAGAACATACAGTAAATTTTCTTGCCAAAGAATCGCTGATCAATGTGGAATATCAAAATCGTCTGCACACCAAATTTGCAGTATTGAGTTTCGAAATGGAAGTTTGACAAGGATACCAAGTGACAAGAAGAAGGGAAGACCACGAAATGTAAGCGAGTCGTACCTTAAAGTCTTTTAGACGGAATAATGTACACGTTACCGTGAGAAGTTTAGTTGAAGAGAGTGGTCTTAATTTTCAAGTGGCCAGTAGGAGGACGTATTCGCGCTATTTGAATGAACTTGGATACTATTATTTTTCGGCTCAGAGAAAGGGGATTCTTAGCGACAATGATAAAAAAGTACGACTGCAATTTGCACGTAAGATGAAGCAAGAGCTGATTAGAAATCCTGATTTCTGGAAAAATGAAGTTTCCTTTTACTTGGACTGGGTATCCTTTGTTCACAAGTATAGCCCAAAAAGTGGTGCGGCCTCTAACAGAGCCAGGGTGTGGCGAAAACGAGAGGAAGGGTTTCAACTTACAACCAAAGGATGTAAAGATTTAGCGGGTGGACGGTGTTTGCACGTTATTGTCGCCATAGCATACGGAAAAAGAGTCATCTTAAAAGTATTGTACGAGAAAATGACAGGTGAATTTTTTGCGACATTTATTCGGGAACACTTCAACCTTACTTTTGCAAAAGCTGGTCCACAAGCAGATGGTCGACGTTTATTTATTATGGACGACGACCCCTCACAGACCAGTCGGGCCGCAAAACTCGCCCTTGAAGATATTGAGGGAAGCTTTCATGAAATCTCACCCCGGTCACCAGATCTGAATCCAATAGAGAATATTTTCCATCTTGTTAAGCACTACTTAGATCAGGAGGCAATATCCAGAAACATTATGAGGGAATCCTTTGATGAATTTAACGTTCGAGTTTTGGAAGGATTTGGGAATATTCCTGTTGAAACTACAGATAAAACTATCTCTAGTATGAACAGAAGGATTACAGCTATTCTCGCCTCCAAGGGCGAGAGAATAAAATATTAATCACGCAATTGAATGTCACCTTAACACTATTTTTCTAATACTAAAATAACGAAGTCTCATTTTTCAGAACCACAGCTACTTTGATTGATAATCATGACTGAATGAACTTTTAACCTTACAAAATAGTTGCCACTTGTATTAAATCTTTTTTTTTTTTTGGAAAAGAGCACAGAATTGCGTTACATTGAGTCGGTGTTTTTCTTAACATATAACATTTCTCAAACACAGTTCTCCGCTACATTATGTGAAATATCGCGCTAAAGAATTTTAATCTATGATCCAGCTGTATAAAAACGGTAATAAAATGTTTCATTGGCACTGAATGTTGTACAAGTAATGTATAAAGCACATGGGTTTTGCGATTTAAAACAATTCTCGCGTTGAACATTTAAAAGGAGATTGTTAACGTTTCATTTCTTTATTAGTTTAAGGCGAGAACTGTTGCCAACATCGTTGTCCGTGTATAATTCCTTATCTAAAACCAATATGTACAGGGGGAACTCGAACAAAAATACTTACAAGTACATAACTGGATTGTATGGGCCGTCAAAACAGTGTAAAAAAAGTTTTTTAGCCTGAGAACTGTACGTGAGAACTGTGACAACAGTTGTCTTTCGAATGACAAGTTTTAGTCACGCAAGGTAAGAAGGGGTCACATCAGCCACGCAAAATAAATTTTGCGAAGCAAAATCTGCACGGGGGATATCCTCATGTTCTGCTTGTGGTATTTGCTGTCAGAAATTGAAAAAAACCCATCGGCAGCTCATCATTTCTGTATTCACGTGGTCGATCGCACCCCCTTTCACTAGCACCAACGGGGCATCAGAGGTCCCAAAAAACGGGGTATCCTTTGATAGCTCAATATCTTTGCTACATAAATTTTTTGCCACCGGTAAGTGAACTGTATCCCTTTCTAGAGCTTGCAGAAAATCAGCCTAAGTGATGATTTTAGGATGCCACCGAAAATCATTAAGATCTATAATCTCGGCCTCTTCAGCACCTATCCAGGCAAATGAACCCGCAGCGGGATTCGAGAAAGCCTGGTAGATAACTTTTAGTAGCGATAAAATAAACGATTTCCTGCAATTTGCAGGACCATGTATATATACATTGCGACACTTCCCTCTACCTTTTTCCAGTGCACTGTAAATTGCATTGCAAAATGAATGCTTTTCAATCTCGTGGCGCTGGAGTAACTCTTCCGCAGCTGTAAGCCATCTCCCTTCACAACCCTCAATGCACTTCCCGGTCAGCTCCTCTTCCAGCAGTTCAATGCTGGTTTTTTTAAACCGATTTAAATGTGTTTCGGCCTTGGCAAATTCCTTAATTAACTGAATCACTTCATCGACCGCTTTACTTCCCCGGTTGGCAATAAATTCGGCCAACACGGTTTTCCCTTCTCTAACTTGAGCTGTCGCTAAAGACGCCAGCTCTAAGCGTGAGCTTATGGATTTGGCTTGCACCAGCTGACACATGTCAAAAGTGCTCAGGCGATCACCTCTTCTTTTCTTAAACTTAAGGCGCTGTTGCTTGGCCTTCGCTTTCCTCTTTTCGTGGCCACAGCAGATTAGGTTTGAGGAGGAACGTCCATTAAATGTGGACGGCAAGGCGAGTGCAAAGCATCGTTCTTCTTTTGTGACATAACGGAACGCGCTGTAGTAGGTGGTGTGATTATCGCTGAAGTTCACCTTTATCCCGAAGTTCTCGTCTAAATACTTTCGTACTTGAAATTTCCAGTTTGATAGCCATGTGATAATGGTATAGATTCATCTCCCACACAGTTTCGGCATTATCTGTGTTGTGATGAGCTTCAATACACGTTACCCACTGTACAACTCTAACGCCAAAACTCTGCCAAGCTTGTAATACAGCATTGGAAAAACTTTCTTTAGAAGGAAACTTAACAACATCAGCTCGACTATAGGTAATTAAATACACAACGCGTTGTCTCCCAGCTTGCAGACATTCCATTTTTACTCTGCGATGGCGAATATCACGCTCCCGACAAAGACCGTTAGAATAATGCGCTAAGCCTGGGAATGAATTTCGAATCACATGCCCCCTCCCCACCCACTTTTAGCCCTTTGGGTACAATAACTAGATTTCAGGCATGAAAACCAGACATTCTCAGACCGTGAATTTAAATCACTCCCTTTTGCATTGACAAGGATGTTTTTAAGACATAACAAACAATAGATAATAATAATATAATGAAAGGACACGACTCTTTGTATGATATATCACACCATGGTGTTTCCCTACCTGCCCCCACCTCCGACTCGTTTTCAAAACAGGCACACAATAAGGTACCTGCCATACCCTACTTCTAAAAATGGAAACAAAGAATACTGGTCTCTCAACTTTTGACTATAAAATTCCTTCCAAATTTCATATATACCACCTGGAATATTGTTCAGACAATCAGGGACAAAAGAAGTTGACACACTTGTTTAAAATGGGTGCTTTTATCAAACATTTAATTCATTTATTATTCCATCCCTTTTAAACGCCGTAAATCCCCTCACCCCCCCCCCCCTCGAATCAACGTCGTCTCAACTAAAAGAAAGACTTGAGGGTCCAAAATACAACATTGATTTTTGGGGGAAGGGGTTGGGGTAGACAGGGGAAGGGGGTAAGTATGTCCACTATACAAAAAGGGGCCATTTTACGGAAGTGTCTCAACACTTTTGTCCCTCATTGTACCTAAAAGCTTTTTATGGACAAAAAGCGAAGGAAATAGATTTTTCAACTCTTGCCACTCAATACTCAATATTTCCTGACCATTGCTCTCAAATAATCGGTACTTTAATTTTTGGACACGCGTGTTTTGCTTTATTTCACGTTGTTCTATTTTGTTATATATTTCACTGAAAAGCCCTGTGTAGACCTATAAAGTAAATGTATGTATGTATGTAAGGTGCAGTTGGCAGGAAAAGGCACAAAAGGAAATTCAAGTAAGCTAAAGGGATAAGGAAGTTGCATTCTGTACAAGTCTTTACCAGAGCAAGAAACGTTTTTGGCAAGGCAATGATTCTGGTACTGTGTGAGTTGTATTGTTGAAGTTGAGGAAAGCTGTATTAACAAAGCTTGGCTGGATGACTGGAAGAAAATGTCAATCTGTAGAGATGGTTCAGTGGCAGCTGCAAGACAAGCAGCAGAAACACCCATTCTTGTCCAAGACACTGCAGCACACATAGCTGACCTTGCTGTGAAGGGGAGTACTGTAGCTATGGCTTCTGATGAGGACCCCAGGTACGATTTCTTTCTTCTACAGGGTACATCAGAAGGGATGAAGAACTAGACAACAATTATACTGATGACTCAATTCTCCGCTTTCAGCGGTCTGAACGTTTAGAAAGGCAACTTTTCCCTCAGGGAAAACACGCATGGCATCACCCTCATGTAATAGTAATAAACTGCTTTATTTGCATGACCACATCATTGTACAGCATTGCAAAAGCATGCATATGACAATCAAAATATAAAACAAACAGCACAAATAATAATCTAGAAAAATTCATATAGACAAGGTGAAAGAAACTTTTGAGAAAGAAATGGAAGGCCCAGAAAGCTTATTGTGTAACCGCTTATTACATAAGATTTGCAAAGTACACACCACAGGGCCCATAGGGAATTTTAGGCATTGTTACTTTGCTTGGGTGTCATATTTTCAAGATTATGTAAATTATTTCAATTCATCTTAGAAGATTTCAGTACTTTGGGTATTGTAATTAGGCTTTTTCTGCTTTTTACAACTAATCATAAATATCAAATGCCCCCACTGGGACATGTAAATAAACTTACTGTACTGTACTGTTCTGTATTGAATGGTATGTTTACACTGTTGTTGTTAACTCTTTACATTATTGAGGGAGGCACTAACTTGGAGAGCACTGATTACATCACCTCAAATAATATGTTACTCTTACTGTTTGTTTGTTACCACTTGCACTTTTTTTCCTATTATGCACTAGTCAGTGGAAAGCCCCACACTCCCATACGCCGGGAATGAGGGAAACTAGCAGAGACTTTAACAGTTTTAGACTGTCACTTTTGCCACAGTGTCCGGGGTTTTTGAAAGTATTAGACACAAGTATCAGCACCTAAACGGAGACTATTATGAGGCTTAGACAGGGATTCGCCTTTGATGCCATCTTGAAAAGGAATGGTATAGAAACAGAGGCACACATAATAACCTTGCTTCTCATTTGAAATGACTTGAATATTGCTCTAGGTGGGCATATAACCTAGAGGGCTCATGTAACCATAATCGCTTGGAGAGATTATAAAGTTTGGACTCCTAGTTCTGTAACTCAAGCTAGATTATTATTTAATTTTACAACTGAGGCTATGTGAGAAGTTAACAGCATCATTGACTTAACTGTTTGTAAAAAGTACAATTTAAGAAAAAAAAACTGTATTGCCTGAGTGCGGAGAACAAAAGTGATGTTTTGACGACCAAAATTGCTCTGTATAGCAGGGAATTAAAACAACTTAAAGCTTCTAGGCACATTATGTTTAGATCGATCACTAATAGATGCCTGTATATATCAGGTTGACATAGTGGAATTCATCATTTTTGATTACCCAATTGCAGTGGCTGTTAGCTCAAAAACACAAGCTCGCCTTTTAAAAGAGTAGGATCTAAAATACACACACATGATTGGTTGTTATACACAATGTACCTTTAGAGAAGGACCAATAGAAAGAGAAAACTGCAAACTTGATCCTGGACCACAGAAACTAAACCATAAAAAAATCACCAAACAACTTTTAAATGGGAACAGAATTGAGAAGGCAAATCTACCCTTCCCTCATGCGATGCTACTCCTGTTTTCCAGAGAACTGCAAAGAAAAGAGGGCAGTTCATGTCGCTAGTGGTGTTCCTTTTTCTTGTGAACATTACAATGTGGTAAAGTCATGTTCCTTGCCAACTTCGGCCAAGAACTTACAAGAAGAAGACATAAAGAGTTACAACAGTGATAACTCCACTCAAAGAATGTTGTTGGAAGCACTTCAACCACCTGAAGATTTCAGGCATGTTGTTTAAAATTCTCAAAGCTGCTATGCCATATTCTCAGTGACTCCCAGGGACCATCTATCCCCACAGGGTATTGTCATGTTCAGAAGCATGATAGACAGTTCGGTAGCACAAACAGAAGCTGTTTAAAGAAAAGTGGTAACAGCAAACAGATGAAGTTGTGAACCATTTGCCCCCTTCTTCATACTCTTTTTTGTGTGCTGAAAATGTCAGCTGACTCAGATCCAGTTAACGCTGCACCTCTATCAGCATCTGGTGAATCCAATAATGACATTTTTATATTTTTGCATTTTCGGATGTTGGTCTGGAACAGCCTCCCTGAGGCCATTGAATCATCATCTTCATTAGAGTCTTTTACATCTAAGCAATGGTTACATAGTTATTCTTATTTAATTTTATATCATTATTGTATATTATTTTACGGTTGGTGTGATGTCTTCGCGATTTTTACTGACCTTATGTATGTAGATGTAAATGTAGATGTAGATATAGATGTACAGCCACATGTTCATCCACAACAGTAACCGCTGAGCTAGAAGTTAGTGTGAGTAGAGGATCAACAATTAGACTTAACATGAGGATGGTAATTACGTACCCAGTACCTTAAGATAATTATGTAGATCCTGGTCAAGGACAACAGGATTCCTCATACATTCTCACTCCATGCATTTTCCTTCCAGTTCATATTAAGGTTAAACTATGATCAAATAAGAGCTGCAAAGCCATGCACCAACCATGGCCTTTTGACAAAGGTAACGTTCTAGTGACTGCCTGGTTGTGTTGTTAGCTGCATTTGTGATATCTAGCTCTTCATTATCTTCCAAGAACTGTTGATTGTTGTTGTAAGTACCTCTTCACTTTTTGGTTATTCTTCCAACAATAATTTCTCTCTAAAAGAGATCGGATAACATTGTGAAGACAGTAATGTTTAATACTTAACATTAGTAAGATTTTATTAATATTGTTCGGTACCAGAAATATGTATACGATCTGAATGATTTTTGGAACCACACATCTTTCATTACATAACTCTCACAGTACAAATCATAAAATAATAATGTAAAGACCACAAAGGAATTTCCAATATTTGCAACAAGATTGTTATTGCTGTAGAGGTCCTCAAACATTGGCAGCAGCTGTTCCAACGTGGAGTTCCTCTGATGTGGGCATAGAAAGTGAGCTAAGTGTTTGGAAGAGGTGTGGAGAGGTAATGGATTTTGTTTTTGTTTCTGCATGTACAACAAAACTAAGCCACAATTTCAATTTCATTTGAGAAGGCAAATCTACCCTTCCCTCATGCGATGCTACTCCTGTTTTCAACAGGAAGTTGAAGAGACTCTCAAGTCAAAACTGTTGATCCTGTTGTAGCCTTTATACTGTTGCAGTCATGTTTGATGACTCAATGGCACTACGTTTTCAGCCCAGTCAGAATGAGTTACATGGTGCATTCTAAAACGCCAGATTACAGTCCAAACGTCCAAAAATGACCATGAGTTGTAAAACTCTCTTTCTGAATAAGGAAATGATATAAAAGAACAGCTCATCACCACCACCAAGAGAATGCAGCGACAACAGCCCGTTAAAGGGACCGAGGGTCAACAGTCCACCAAAACCTAACTTGCAGAAGCAAGGTCAAAAGAGAAAACACAAGAGCCACAAGACAGTAAAAGACAAATAATTATTAGAAAAGACTGATAACTCTATAAAACTGTCAGAGGAACATTTAACAAATATGACTTTGTCTTTGCCTTATAGTCGAAACCAAATGTTTTGATATACAGCATTTTCGAAAAAGAAATTAAGGAGATCAATCAAGAGGCTGAACAACACCTTTTTGACGCCTTAACTCGCTATCAAAAACACAGGAATGAGGGACAGAAAAATAAACTACAGGCCTAAACTTGCACTACTAGTAATATATAATATTCAAGAAGCAAGGCTTAATTTAGGTGTTACACTCCAAGATGTTTCCAGATAACCATGTGCAAGAAAAGTAAGTGATAAAAAATAAAATGCCTATATATTATAAGGTCACTAAGAAAGGAAGGCTACAATCAACACTAGATAGAACACCTACTCCAGACAAATGTTATACCTAATTTAAAGGGAACCTCCACTTCAACAAAAAGATAACTTTAAATCACAGGAAATAAATGTTACAGTCAAGTCAATCTAAAATATTTTTAAAGAAAGCGTTTGTATCCGAAAGAAATAACTTTTAGATTCGCCTATTTTTGTTTTCAAATTTTGCGGGCGTCGCCATCTTGAATAATTGTGACGTGTAATGGTTGCCCTATTGTTATTAAACAAAAGCTCTTTGTGTCAGAACAACAGAGCAACCATTACACGTCACAATTAGTCAAGATGGCGGCGCCCGCGAAATTTGAAAGTGAAAATAAGCGATTTTAAAATTCACTTTTCCTGATATAAACACTTTTTTTAAGACAAATTTCGAACAAATTTGTTTGTCAACATAATTTTATTCGATTTAAACTTATTCTGTAGTAAGAGTGGAGGTTCCCTTTAAGTCAATGACTATCAGTTTATGGTTCATCAGGGGCAAATTTAAACAGTATTCAATGTTTTCTGCATCCCTACCACAAGCATAAATATACCTCAGAGAAAGTTAACACCAAAGAACTTTTAAAAAGCCACGATCTGCATAATTTTAAAAAGGCACACCACTGGAACTCCATCCACTTTGCACAACCTTTCACCTGTGAGGACGACCACCAACTACAAAATGGGGAATTATGAAATAACCTTATATCCACTCATTCATATGTACTCTTTCTTTTACTTCATGAGATGAATACAAATAAATATTTTTAAATGAACAGGAAAAGCTTGATTCAGTTTTCCCACCTCAGTAAGCAATTCACTTATTTCATTCGCCTCGTTGCCAAGGCAAATTATGCGGTAATGCAGTGCCCTTCCAGAGCTGCTCCCTGATTGGTTTGATAAAAACCTCCGGTAACGATTGTACCAATTATCTTATTGGCTGGCTCTTTTTGGGCCCATTCTTGAAACTTCCGGTAGCACTTTACTTTTAGTCTTTATCTGACAGTATAGCAGGCTGTTTCTCAATCTCCTTTGTGCTCTTAGCCTTAACTCTTGAGTAATACAGTGTGTGTATACATAAACATATTGTAATTGCATAATGATGCACACACTTATTTTTGTTTTTGAATTTGCAACTGCCATTCCAATGGTATTAAGTAATGATGTTGCAAGATTATGTTGCTGGTGTAACCTTAATGATCTTTCAGTATGCACGGAGATTAACTGCGGAGTGGAGCAACTTTTTGTTGATCTAAGAGCAGAACTATATTGAACCCATATGTGCTCATATTGAGTAGTCTACATTGCACTTGCTGATAAACATAAATATACACATACATACATATGCATTGTTGACGGTTTTGATGCTCGTAATAATGTACAATTTTTATTTGTTAGGAGAACCCATCGAAGTGGACATCAGAAGGTACTGGGCAGTGCCCCAGTGGTTACACCTATTCCAATGTATCGAAGCCGAAAACTTGTCCGATTTGGGGTTTTGCAATTAGGAGGGAACACGTGCGGAAAGTAAATAAGCCAAAATTAGACACAGACTCGCCAAAGTGTGTCCTTGTAGTTGAATCATCCCAACTCAAGTTATTTTCTGTTGAAATCAAATCCAAACACAATAGAGTGTTTGTGTGTAGTCAAGCTCAGATTTTGTTTGTCACTCCAAAAATGCAACAAAAAGAGGGCAGTTCATGTTGCTAGTTGTGTTCCCTTTTCTTGTGAACATTACAATGTGGTAGAGTCATGTTCCTTGCCAACTTCGGCCAAGAACTTACAAGAAGAAGACATCAAGAGTTACAACAGTGATGACTCCCCTCAAAAAATGTTGTTGGATGCACTTCAACCACCTGAAGATTTCAAATATGTTGTTCAAAAATTCTCAATGCTGCTATGCCATATATCACAGTGATTTCCAGGGCCTATCTAGCCCCACTGGGTATTGTCATGTTCAGAAGCGTGATAGACAGTTCACCTGCACAAACAGAAGCTGTTTAAAGAAAAGAGGTAACAGCAAAAAGATGAAGTTGTGAACCATTTGCCTCTTTTATATTCTTTTTTGTGTGCTGAAAATGTCATGTTTCAGGTCCAGTTAACACTGCACCTCTATCAGCATCTGGTGAATCCAATAAGGACATTTTTATATTTTCACTTTTTTGGACGTTGGTCTGGACCAGCCTCCCAGAGGCTATTGAATCATCAGTTTCGTTAGAGTCTTGTAAATCAAAGCAATGGTTACATAGTTATTCTTATTTAATTTTATATCACTATTGTATATTATTTTATGGTTGGTGTGATGTCTTAGCGATTTTTACTGGCCTAATATGTGTAGATATACGTGTAGATGTAGATGAAGATGTACAGCCACATGTTCATCCACAACAGTTACTGCTGAGCAAAAAGTTAGTGTGAGTACAGGATCAACAATTAGACTTAACATGAGGATGGTAATTCCGTACCCGGTACCTCTAGATAATTATGCTCTCTGCCTGCTGAAGCTTGAAACATGTTCTTTGCTGTTTTATGCTGTCAGGCACAGAGGGAGTCCTCTTTCAGATTGCAGAATGCATCCTGGTCAAGGACAACAGGATTCCTCATACATTATCACTCCATGTATTTTTCTACCAGTTAATATTAAGGTTAAATTCTGCTCAAATAAGAGCTGCAAAGCCATGCACCAACCATGACCTTTTGACAAAGGCAACATTTTAATGACTGCCTGGTTGTTCTGTTAGCTGTATTTTGTGATATCTAGCTCTTCATTAACAACATCATATTTCATTAAGAACTGTTGATTGTTGTTGTAAGAACCTCTTCACTTTTTGGTTATTCTTCCAATAATTTCTCCCTAAAAGAGATCGGATAACATTCTGAAGACAATAATGTTCAATATTTAACATTAGTAAGATTTTATTGATATTGTTTGGTACCATAAATATGTACACGGTCTGAATGATTTTTGGAACCACACATCTTTCATTATTTAACCCTCACAGAACAAATCATAAAATAATAATGTAAAAGACCACAAAGGAATTTTCAACATTTCCAACAAGATTATTATTGCTGTAGAGGTCCTCAAACATTGGCAGCAGCTGTTCCAATGCGTAGTTCCCCTGATGTGTGGGCATAGAAAGTGATCTAAGTGTTTGGAAGAGGTGTGGAGAGGTAATGGATTCTGTTTTTGTTTTGCATGTACAACAAAACTAAGCAACAATTTCATCGATTGTGTTCACAGGGTGTTCATTAGGCATCGGAGATCAGAGAATTCTCCGTTTACTATGAAAAATTCTCTGACAAACGTTCAGTAGACTGTGACTATTTTTATTCAGATGAGGAGCGTATTTCAAAATATTCTCCTGTAACATCACACCTTAATATTGCTACTAGAATTCTTCATGAAAACCCTGGTTCATGATCCATACCTGATAACTGGTTGGGCTTGTGGAATGACAGTGCTGTGAAACACATGAAAGAACATAATCTTCCCCTCAAATCCTCCCTTAAGCCTTCACCACCTTTCCAAAATGCTTAACTTTAAAACTAACATGACACGCAAATGAGTAACTTACCGGCTGCAATGCAGAAAATATGTGTCCCTGGTACTCGCATTTGACTTTGGAGTTCAACCACATACATAACACTCACAAATGTCTAACCAAGAGGTCGTAGATTGAAGCCTGCTAACAAACACTACAACAAGTTTACTGCAATTTCCTTTTAAAGTGTGTTTAGAACAAATTATAGACTTTTACTTTCTTAGCGCTTACAAGATTCTCAAATAAAATTTTGGTCGTCATTATACTTTGCTGCATGGAGTGCTATGCTGCGGGGACTGGGAACTGGTAACTGAAACAGCAAAATAAACATCCCAACAAACTTTCTAGCAAATCGAATTCTCAGATGCTTTCAAGAAAAAAATAGGTAGCTTCACTGTGTGGGCAGCAATTATGTGACATATCTTGTGGTGAATAAAGACAATAATTTATTTATAGAAATACGCATGTAAATGAGAAACCTCTCGACTAAACACACACAGCGAGCCACATTGTAAACCACAACAATGCACAACTAGCCAATTTGCAAAAACAGATTTCCGATACATGTGTATAAAAAACACCATTTCAACACATGTAATCAAAACTCTAAAAATAAACAGGATGAACAGTACACTCTACACAAAACCAGTAGATGCATTCCAAAACAGAAATCACAAACAATCCATAAACACTTCTGTAAAAAGGGCAGACAGCCAAAGAAAGGGCATCAAAACCCATTCAAAACAGTCAGCTAACTGACACCCAAGTAAATGTGCCATCACAGGGCTCAAAACTGCAACCAAAACAATCGCATTTGTGACTTAATTTCTTCCATTTGCGACTAAAACATAGGGAGGAGTTGCAATTTTGCAATGAGTTTTCACCTTGGCTATTACAAAATATAAGGGCTAGCAGTGAACACTTTGCCTCACTTTTTGCTAAAACAGGAGTGTAACAATATCTTGTTCGTTGTCTTGATTTTTAATGAAAACCAGATGTCCTATTTTCTGTTGCTTTAACAAGGAGAGGTGATCGCAAATTTTCTAAGACAAAGGAAGCTTTAGTAGTGGGTGAGATCAGACAACGGTTTTCCCTTGTTCACATCATGGGTATGGGCTCTGTTCTGTCCAAACCAATAATCTTGATGTACTCTACCATCCAGTTTAAATACCACTGTTGGGTGAACCAAATTATCAACCCTAGCACTTCAGATAACTCTGTCATGCCCAACAAGGAAGCCATAACCATTCTTTGGTCAAGGGATGGTAATTTGGACAACAGGACTGCAACCTGTATACAGCAAACCACTTTGTACCCGTAGTCAGGGCAGAGCCATTAGCTAGTAACAAGAAGGATTGCCCTTCTATCAGAAAAAGTATCACTCCTCAACAAAAACACCAAGGGACACTCACTTTGTTATTCAAACCCAAGGCATCCACTGTTCCAGCTAAAAAAAACACAAGATTTGAAAGTACTCGAGCTGGCCTTGTTGCAGCTGCAAAACAGTTGCAAGTCTGTCGATGATGCGTACAATGTCTTACAATTGATTTGGAAGACCTACCATTATAGTCTGAAGAGTGAGTTTATTGTAGTCTTGTTGTCGCCCTTTTCCCTTTTGAAAGACAGTAGATCAAAGATAAGATGGTTGCATTTTGTTACGACCCAACATTTTGCGCACATTTTTTGAGCATCAGGAAAAGGTCAGTGTTATGTAATACAGGTTCAGTTATATATGTAGTTGTGGAAATCAAACACCGTGGTTATGCAATCACACATGTAAGATTTTAAGTTCAGTTTCTTGATGAGCATTGAAGTAGCATGTAGTCACATCTCCATGTGTTCAATATACATGTAATACATTAGCGATGAGGATTTGTAAAAATCACCTTAACGGCAACCTACAGGAACATGGGAAAGTTCAATGAGTCAGTGGAATCATGGACTCATTACCCAGAGAGACTTGAGCAATACTTTCTGGCAAACAAAATTGAAGATGACAAGCAACAGCGAGCAATCTTACTCAGCATATATGGGAGCAAAACATACGGCCTCATTTGAGATCTCTTGCAAACCAAAAAAACCGGCTACAGTGCATTACAGTGCAAGTCATCTGCAAAACGTTGGAAAATCTTTTTTCGCCTAAGCCAAGTGTCACTGTACAGCGATTTAAGAGAAATTGTCTTGGAGGGGAAAGTGTCGTGGAGTTCGTCATGGAGGAACACTCAATGATATGCTACAGGATCGACTCATTTGCGGATCAACAATGATCACATCTCCACGTATGCGTTCGATATATTACAGTCAGAATGATAATTGACCCCTTTCTCCCACATTAAGTTAATAATTAATGAAACTGTTGTAGTTCAATTTTAACCTCTGCTTTATTTTTTTTTTTACAAACCAGCTCAATTTTTTTTGACCAGTTTAATTTTTGTTAACCAGTTTTTAATCAACTGTCTCAAAAGGGCCTTTTCTTTTTGGGGTGTGGATGAAAAATTGGGGCTTGGCTTTTAAGGGGGTTCTGAAAAGAATTAGATGCAAGATAAAAGAGAAGAGAGATAAGGATGGAACTTTTCCTGCAATTTATCATCTACACATCTCCTCTTAGTCTTTTATCCTAGCCTACTACCCCACAGGATCTTTCATTTACCCCCCCTGATTTATTTACCACTCTGCCTCTACACTACTTATTTATTCACCTTGATATTGTTCTTACCAGGATTTGCACCACCAACCTCCAGATCTGTTGCCATCCGTTCTCTCCATTAGACCACGGTAGAATTCGTTGGAGAGCGACGAATATTTGTTGGTATTATAAGTAATTAGCCCCAGACTCCCCTTCACTCGGCCAAATTTGTTCTTGAAATATTCATACAGTAAAAAACATGCGCATTTGGTTTAGAGGGGACTTAGAGCTCAAACATGGCTGAACCTCATGTACATGTACCGTGTGTACAGAGACAAATCTTTTACGAACAGTTGGATGCCTTGAAAAACAAACAGACCAAAAACGAATCACAGATAACGCTTTTTATCAAGGATTCATTCTTCGATAAAACAAAAGCCTATCTTAAATACCAGACCAAGATGCAGCTTGGAATTCAATCCGACGAAAACATGCTGTCGAAGTGGGAAAAATCAACAGTCATGGCTTATTCAGACAACTCAATAATAACACAAAACAAGAGAAAGGTGGTCCCTAAAAGGGACATTCACAACGTGTTGTCCCTCGCTCACGATCGCACTGCTCATCGTGGTCGACAAATTACTTCTAAATGGATCAGTAACAACTATTCCAAAGTCAATGTGAAGGTGGTAGCCATATTTGCTGGCCCGTGCCCAATTCATGCGGAGCCGCAGTCAGTAACTAGCCGTGTTAAGCTTGTTGATAAACCTATTCAATCTCCGACATTTCTATCTCTCCTAGAGATAGATTTAATGGACTTCCGTAACTGTCCTTCTGATTGTACTGAGAAGCACACATGGGCCATGAACATAACTGATCATCATACTAAGTATGTTTACATAACACCTCTGAAGGCCAAGTCTGCCGATGAAGTACTTACCAGATTCAAACCCTACTGCTACACCTATGGCTTTCCGAAAAAAATCCTAACCGACAATGGTAAAGAATTCGCAAACAAAAAGATGGAAGCAACACCAACCATTCAAGGTTTGGATGAAAGATCAAATCGAACTTGGAAAGAGGATAAATTATGAGAGCATTAATAATGAGCACCTCTTCCACAAGTGTTCAAAATGGTGTGAAAAGCATCAGAAGCAGCTTATACTAGAAACATAAGCTACCATCGAGCAATAAAGATGACGCCATATGAGGCTGTTTATGGTATTAAAAGCCATAGAGAATGTGAACATCACGAGGAACAATCCAGAAAACGACAAAAAATAACTGAAAATCAAGAAAAGTACAACAACAAAATGGTAACAGAGTTTTCAAAATCAGCCATCGGCCGTCGCATCCGACGACAACTTTTTGATTTGCCACGCCTACTTTCCCTTAGGTAAATTATATGATAAATAGAACTTTTGATAAAAAGTGGTAAGTGTTCACAAAGCTGTTGCGAGCAAGCAAACTTGAAATTCTTCTGGAGAATTTCGCCAAAACATTGCTCAAGTCTGCTTTTAAAATACGTTCTCTGCATAATACGTTGAGTAAACGTTGAGGACGAGTCAAGACTGGGTCTCAGTTACAGGAACATTGTAGTTAGCGGTTTCTGAAGCGACTCTATATAAAACGCCACATTTCGTCTCCAAGAACACGGCAAAATGGCAGAAAAGCGACAGCGTGGTTTACGGGAGATGTGGTCGCTGACAGTGACAAACAAGAAAAAGAAAAAGGATGCTGCAGGTAATAATGTAATGTTTTCCCGAAGATTACCCAAGCAGATGCCGGTACACAAATGGAAGAGGAAATAGTTCAAATTGAGGAGAAAGAACAAGAAGAAGTAGTAGCAAAAGTCTTCTCCCTAGATGAAGAGCATGGCGAATCGGACGACAGTGAAGCACATGACAGCGGATGGGAGGATGACGACGACGATAGTGAGGACTTTTCTGACTAAAAGTCTTTTTCTCAGAAGACAAAGAATCTCCATGTTTTGACTTGTAGATACTACCATATTTCACTTCAATTGAATGATGAAGTAGGCCTGAACGGTGTTTGTGATCGATAAGTAATAAGGATATTCAAAATTGTAAATTTTGTTTGAGTTTAAAACAGTTCGTGTATAGCTTTAGTATGTTTTTGAGCCTTTTCTAGGCATCAAGAGAAGGCCCAGAAAAAATGCTTCGGTCTAGACTGGACAAACAGCTATCCAAGTACATGGGTCTACATGAACAAAGTACACAAGTAGCTTTTGTTGGTTATTGAAAATTCAATTAACTTTGCTGTTTCTTAATCACTTTTACTTTTTTCAACCCAAATTATGTACTAATCTTTAATCTTTAATCTAATCTTTAATCATTATTTATACACGGTAAAAATCATCAGGTACAATAAATTCCTATACAATGACTAACATACTAAAGCCTTAAAATCCAAATCTTAACATTAAATATTAACTTACAACAATATGCCACATAAAAACCCTGATTGTGGTTAAACCGTACCCTAATATTGTGGTTAAAGTTACTAAAAGCATCAAAATTTATCAGTATTTTGATATCTAAAATTTGCTAGTTCTGCGCCTCAAAATGCGGAAAAATGCGTCTCAAGAGTCTAGAAATTCAAAATTTCCTGGGGGCATGCCCCACCCCCCTAGAGAGCAAGGCCATCCGGCCTTGCAACTCCTACTCAAATAAACGCAACTCCTACTTCAAAACTGTTGAAAACCCTGGGTAACCCAAGGCCAAAAAAAAAAACCAACCTAGAAAATTTAAAGTTGAGACATTAGGGCCATTTATACGAGGAAAAATAAGACGTGAACTTTCCGTATAAACGGCACATTTCGCTTAAAATAAGATGCGGTTAGCTAAGACGCGTCTTTATTAGATAAGACATGCTCGTATAAATGGTACAGTTCACGTTTTATTTAAGATGCGTCTTATTTTTCCTCGTATATATGGCCCTATTGTCTCTATAAAAATTGACCCTGTTGACAAGACATCACCTCTGCATTCCAATCTTCTTCTGGGAAAAGTTGAAGAAATTGTAAACACCTATGCATGTGTTGTGACCAAATTTGGTAGAATAAACACATTAATTTCACCCACCGATTATATCCTTGCACAGCTACTTCTCAGAACATTGAACTTGATTACACTACTGAGCTGACATTTTTTCTGCAGCGTGCAAGAAAGCTATGTAGTGTATTTACATAATTTGTCAAGTAGTACTTATTACCGAGGTTCAAGAAGTAAAAAGCCATTACTGCAGGGTTCGCAAATACGCCAAATTTCCACAGAGGTTACGGAGGGAGTCACTTCAACTCCAGAAATTTTCGGTAACAAACAGTGAGCCACTTCGACTCCAGAAATTTTCGGTAACAGTTTTGCCCTTACCTTTTTCGCAACAAATACAATTTACGTTAACTGTAAACGTTGTAAACCTTAATTAAATCATTAAAATTAAAGAATTATACTGCACGACAAAACAGGAATAGGGTAAATTATGATCAAAGTTTACTCGATGACCGCCATCATGGATTTGAGCTTTCCAGGTCAGCAGACCGCCACAGCTACTTCGTGTATCCATCACGATAGTGTACATATGCCAAGACCACGTGCTGGAAAGTCTGAAAATGGCTTTTTTCGTTGTGATACTTGACTCCAAATATTCCAAAATGACTCCAAAATTTGTGAAGCAGAAGTCACAGTGACTCCACTCATCAATAAAATTTGCAAACCCTGCCATTACTGTGTACCAATACTGGTGCTGTTTCTTTGACTGAGTGGAAAAGCATTGGGTACCAAACCTTACCTAACCCTAACCCTGACCCTAAATGACTGCTTAACCCTAATGAGTAAAATGAATGCTTAACCCTAATCAGTAAAACGAGTGCTTAATCTTAATCACTTAATTCACTATTTAAGGATTACAAAGAATAAACTCCCCTTCAGTAAAATAAAAAAGTGACGTATTTGAAAAAATTAAACTGGTATAAAAAAATAAAACCAGTTTAAAATTTTGAACTGGTTCAAAAAAAATTAAACCAGAAAAAAAATTGAACTACAACAAAACTAAGAACACTTCTGTGAATGAATGGTGGTTTGATGAAGGCTGAAAAAAATTGCTTTCTGCAGTAACTTCAGCTTTCTTCATTGGCACGTCTTCGTGGAGAGATAAAATACATGAACTTCAGCTATAAATTTTAAATCATATACCAATGCCAGTAAGATTGTGTTTTGAAAATAAGAAAACTGTCTTATTTAGTTATACAAAGGAATAAATTACAGCAATTGGTTTGAATTCTGATTTGAGTTTTTTTCCACCTTATTTTGATGGCTCACTGTTTGTTTACATTTCATCATGCAAATTAATATAACATTTGAGCATTTTAAACATAATGGGCGATTCCAGAAAATATCCATACCATACCACGGACGGCTTTTTAGATTTCGAAGGAGGGGGGGTTCACGATTATGGAATTCTGAGGGCATGGGGTGTTTTGCATTGGAAATCCGAAGGCATGGTGGAATTCCACAGGTGGGATTTCTGGAGTAGAAAGTGTAGAGGAGTTCCTTGAAAACGCTTATTGTTGTGGACTTTGGTAGTTCGAAATAAACCACGAACGATGACCGCGAAGCAGAAGACAAGCATCGATAGATCAGACACGTGTTTACGCTCATAAGTTATAGAAGTGAACAGTAAAACGTGGGTTTCACATTAACCTTGATGAATTTCTTGTCACATGAAAAAAAAAACGGAATATGTATCTTACTGCTTGCAAGTTTCTTGTTACTCCCGTCCGATGAACAGTAAAAAAAAATCGCACCAGTCCCTGGCTTCCAAGGAACGCCTGTCAGATTAGAACACTTTTCGTGCACACTACATGACGTATAAAAGGACGCAACACGCCTCGACGGTATATTTGACCACCGAAAGATTTTAACGGTCTGAATTTGAGCTATTTTGCTTTGTAAACGTCAAAACAGCACAAGAAAACAAAGAGGAGTAAAATTGCCGTTAGTGGTGTTTATTTTTATTGCCAAATTCGGTAGGTTAGAGTCTGAAAGCTTGTCGCCTGGCGCCGCTAGATCACAGCCTTGAGGAGGCATAAAGTCATGTTCGTTTGTTCCTGTAGGTGTTGCTAAGTTGAAAATGTACTTCCAAAAAAACGGAAATTCTGAAGGGGAGGGGGGGGTTCACGATTATGGAATTCTGAGGGCATTGGGGGGTAACGCATTTTGGAATTTCCGAAGGCAAGGGGGGGATAAAACATGGAAGCCGTCCGTGGTTGGGTATGGATATTTTCTGGAATTGCCCAATCCAGCCCAACTCCCCAACCCTGAAATGGCACGAAATGAAACGTTATTAACACACCTTTAAAATAAATCCTTTGCATTTGCAATGTATTCCTAAATGATGCCATTTTAAAGGATACTACATTTGTTCATATGCCAATTTGTAAGATATTTCATGTCTTATGTTTTGACAGGCTTTAAAGACAAACATACATCGCCAGTTAGAATATGGAGTAATGGCCACTCTTTGTTTTGGACGCATCACAACTGTCATCAAATACAAATTAATGACAAGAAAAAACAATTGTGGAACACGGAGCTGTTACTCAAGAGTAGCTTCAAAAATTATAGTAGGTTAGGGAAAATCTCTGTATCTTCTACAAAAAGAAAAATAAAAGTATTGCTCGTTTTTTGGGAGTTCATTTTTATTGTCTGCAAGTGAGCTTTATGAAATACTCAATTACATGGTACATAATCACTTGTACTTTTTCCTGTCTCAGACTGTTTCCATTCTTCATTACCTTTATAATCTTTTTACATGTTTTTGATGAAAACTTTCCAAAAACTGTTAAAAAAACATAGATTTCATGTTTTTGCGGCACATATAAATGCATGTTTCCGCAATCAGTTTAACATGAGACATCAGGCTAATAAATAAACCTTGCGTAGTAAAACTTTTTCACTCTTCTTAAAGCAGCTGAACATTGCTACGATGCATTTCTTACTTGATAAACAAACCATGAGTCTGGAAATCAAACCATAAAAATGCACTGCTTTGCCCATGAAACTCAGATGTACAACACAAACAGTGATTTTTGGTGTTGAGTCTTTTAAGTCTTTAAAAGGTCAAGAAAACCTACTGCTGAAAAATCTACTTCTGAAAACCCGCTTAGAAAATATCCAATTTTTTTCAAGGAGAACATTTCTTGTAGGAAAGTATGGTATTCAAAGCATCAACAAAATGACTTTTAAAAGGACTGTAACTTAACACGAGTTTTCCATTTCCCGCCATCAGATTTGATGTGCCCACGCTATTATCATTCAGCAGATGCATGCATGTGTACCGAAATTGCCCTCCTGTTGTCACAATATAGTTCTTGTTACAATGCACATAAGTTTACTGCACAAACTACATGCTATCCCATACAGACTTACCACTATCGGCAATATGCATCCATTGGCATCAACACACCATATGAGCTTAAACATTTCTGCTACAATGTTATTGTTTTCTTAATTTAAAAAAAAATAATTAATAATTTTTATTGGCAAGTCGATTCGGTGTTTATGCTCGTCATGAGTATGCAGTGCTTGAAGACAAGTAGCAGCTGCTTGTGCATTGCTTGTGCATATATAATTAATTCCCCATGTCGTTTCAAGGGAAACAGAAACAGTGCTCAGCTGTGACTGCTGTGTTATCTGTTGTCTTTGAATATCGTTATCTTAGGCCAGCAACAATACTATACTTTTTCTTTACTTCACGTTCCTTAAAACGACCACAAATAATAGTACAAATAACATAAAAGATAAAGAATTAGCCAAAATACGCTTAACAGGCACCGAAGTTTGTCACATGGCCTGTCACTTCTAATTAGTTACTTTTGTTTACATGTTCTGTTCAGCTCGTTTATACTCACCCGCCCTATGAGCGTCGAGCCTTCACTTGTACAAGGCTGGTTAACCTCTCAGTTTATTCTGCTGTCTGAAGTTCTGAAGAATTTAGAAGCATTGAGTAAGAAAAACAGCCTAGTTGACGACCTAATGCAGACACCTCAGCTGTGTTCAGCGAAGAGCGAAGTTACCTTGTATCAGCCAGTCACTTCCATATGGAGGGTTTGCAGTAAACAAAACAGATGCAGACATTTCCAAATTTACTGCCTGTTGCAATTCCCTTACAATTTGGGAATAAATTGGAAAAAGGCTGTGCAGAAATACTTCTTCCACAGAAAAACCTTCTCCAACCTTCGCACCTTCGCTCCGCATGCCAGCCGTCAAGCGACCAAGCCAATCAAAGTCCTCCATTTTGATCACGGGATCTAATACTCCAGTCCCTTGAGAAGTCTCCAATCGACATTGTCGTCCTTTCCCAAAAAGTGGCGGGAAATTTGAAGAGAGCGTTTCTTGTGCCCCCGGAGAGGGTGAAGAGTTTGGTGAGGATAACAGAGCCTTTGTTTTGGAAAATGAAAGAAATGTCTAAAAATTGGCAACATTGTTAAACCGTATTTACGAAGTAGACACATTGAAATGTCTTAAATCTGCAAAGCTTATCGTATTTTACCTGAAAACAAGAGAGGAAGAAGAGTGCAGATTAACAGTAACCTTTGCCAGAGTAGACATATTAAAACACAACATGCATACAAATATCCCTATCCCGTTCCTTTATATGGGTCATTATCCAAGGAACTGTAAAAAAGGGAGGGTAAAACGGGTTACTTAAAAAATTGTTCTAGGAGCGGTGGGGAAGGGGGTGCATTTCACAAACTATTACCGTCAAGGGAGTACAGTTTTCGTGTGATCAGGAGACTTACGGGCTCGAGCCTCCTGGTGTGATTTTGTTTCTTTCTTTTTTTTTTCGAGGTGGGTGGGGGAATTTTTGGTACATCACATTTTTCTGAAAACCTCTTGCCCCTCTGGGAAATAATAAACGATCGCTTCCCTTAATTGCAGCTTTAGCCAGGCTTTTGTTTGGGGAGGCGGGGTGGGGAGCGGGGGGTATTTGAGATATGTTTCGGTGAATATTCTCAGACAAACGGTGTAAGTTTTGGAATGGGATTAACTTGGTTAATATGTTGCTCCTTTGGGCAGAATAAACTTCCACTTCGGAAAAAAACCCTTGACCCTAAACGCAGTACACAGAATACGCTGACACGTCATAGGCGGCGGAAGGGGGAGGGGGGGGGGGGGGGGGCTGGGAGGGCTTCAGTCCCCGACACTTTTTATTGTGAGGGGGGGCAGAGCCCCCCTCCCCACGTTTATACAATAATAAACAACTTTCTTTTATTTTTCCACGGTCAACTCATTAGCATTAGGACTATTTTGGAAAATTCAAGTAAACAACGAGTCGTCTGTTTAAATCCAAACAACGTACGTACGTAGCCGGTTGGATTAGGACATTTCATTTTTTTATCCGCACTCCCTCCCTCCCCCACTCCCTATTGAAGGCTATCCTATGTAGTTTTTGTTGTCGGCGCCATTTAAGATAGCATCGGTCCAAAACGTTTTAAGCCTATTCCCAGTACTCCACTATCCGAACGCCTGGAATCCTAAGATGTTGTCGGCGTCTTACAAAAAAAAAGATAGAGGCCGCCTTTTATTGCTTATTGGTGATGGGGGAATAGAATGTCCAATTTTATTTTCGCCACCCCCCCCCCAACTCTTTATTTCGCTCCGCCGACGCTGCACGTGAATAAGTAATCACTGCTTATCCAGAAACAAACATTATAAATAGACTTTATTAGCTCTAAAACAGGAGTCATTATATATCCAGGTATCCACTGCAGTAATATCTTTTAACTGTAGTGACTGAGGATCCGTCAAGTATACACGTATTTAGTCTAACACACACTTAAAAACGTCACGCAAAGCCGGAGCCTGTAGGCTCCTGCGCAAAGCCACTGGAGATTCCCGTACATTTTTTACTACTCCTTTCCAATTTCTGGGAAGGTTGTACAATTTATCTGTAGTACATTTTAACGGTTTTACCCTTTGCTTAATACACCTATTCCCCCTATCCAATGTTGGGATATAATCAAACGATTGCGCCGCTGCGGGCGCAAGCACTTAAGTTTGGTTCAACAACATCACGCCGGTGCGGGGGGGGGGAGAACAAAAAGAAGTAAAAAATAGTAGCCTTCTCAACTCTTTTCCAGTTGTTGTAGTTTTTTCCTCTTTTTCTCCTTGTCTTTGTCTCCTTGTCTCCTTGTCTTTTTCCTTGTTTTTCTGCACGTATTCGAGAACGTCACAAATCGCGGCTGCCCAAGCTGGCATTACCCCGGTCAGTACCCAACCTGAGACTATGGAGTGCAGTGGAGCCTATAAGGGGTTGAATGCGCACTTTCCACTGGCCCTAAAATCAACAGATTCGGTTCTGCCGTTCTGAACTATAATTTACTCTGTTTTGTTTCGGAAAGCTGCATCGACGCCTTTTTAACAGACAGCCACCAAATTATAAAACAAGTTACGTTCATTTTAGGCTTAAAATAGAATCAAGAAGTTTTGGCAAAGTTGTCACCTGTTAAAAGGTCTCTCAAGATTTAAGTCTTTATATTTTCGTCGACAATTAGGACAATAGTGTTTAAACAAAAAAAATGCAATATTTTCCTGATAGGTCCTTCCATCTTTTTTGCTGATATTAATAAAGAGCAGTATAGCAAGGGCGTGACCATGGACACTGCTGGAAAGAGGGCCTTCAAATTAAGAAACGTACTACGTTTAATGGTGGTTTAATGGTTTAATGGTGGTAAAGGCCCTTCCCTTTTCGCTTTTCTCCTCGCTTCCCTCCCCTTTTTGCATCTGCCACGCAGACTAGCTAACTGGTCCCAGTCCAATCTCGTTCCCAAAGTCTACCTTCTGATGGACAAGGGTAACGCGGACTCTGGGAACGAGATTAGTTCTAGTCAGGTAGTTTTTCAACTTTTGGCAATAGTTAAAAATAAAAATAAAAACAAACAAACAAACAAAAAGAACGTGGAAGGGCCTGTTAAACGCGTAGAAGCTTTTTTAGGTCTTTTAGGGGTATAATGATAATTACTCAATTAAAATCTAAGGTGGCTCCGAACCTGCTACCCAAAACTGAATCTTGGTACAGTAAACTCTCTCTTAACGGACACACCTTTCTACCGTTTAGAAATTTGCATCCTTTAACTGCTGTAAAATGCACTCTAAAATATCTCAAAACTAAACGTTTTCTCTAATTGTTCACAGCCATAAAATTCATCTGCCAGTCCTTTGGGGCCCTTTTACGAACTTAATGACAGAATTCCCTGCCCTCTCCGATACGCAAACTAGTAACCTGCGTAAATAGCCTGCAAGAGCATTCGGTTTTTTTTCCTTCGGCTTCTTTCAGCGGCCGGGAAAACGGGTGAAACTGGAGCCGAAAAACCCGGATGCTCTCGCAGGCTACCTCCGTAAACACTCGTTCCCGTTTCAGCGACAGAAATCCTATACTGATGAGGGAGCCCATGACCCGTAGCAAGCAACGTCCATGCGCTTGTGTCACGGCGTTTTGACGGACCAGTTTATTTTTAGAACGGTTTGAATATATTTTAAATTCTAGAAACCAGTCAGCAAAACCTACAGACCTAAAAATGATATTTTTTTACCTTTTAATAACGTTTAGTTTTCCTTTTTGATATCTTATACTTCGAGTGCGCTTATAGACATGTTGGAGATTCTATTTTCTCGGAAAAAAGTGGCCTAAAATGTGTCTAAAAATGAACTGGTCGGTAAAAACGCCGTGACATAGGCCCAGTATGAGAGTTGGTCGCCTGCGGGTTATGGTTAGTCTGCTACACAGCTGTTTTTAGTGTCGTCACGCAACGCTCCTTCCCACTAGGTTATGGTCTCCTGACTGATGACGTAAAATCTGTCAGTAATCTGTCAGGAACCTGATTGGTCGACGTGGTAATACATTTGTATTGTTTCCGCAATTGTTTATGAACGACAGGCAAAAGGACACGGCCACAGAGGTCAAACGTTAACGCGATCAATCTACTATAAAACAGTAAATATTCTTGAATATTTTTTCTTTAGTCTTGCTACCTTGTTTCCAGAGGTTATTCTGAAATTTGTCTTCATGAAAGAGCAAAGTAGTGAAACCCTAGCCTACCCTTTCATATAGAGTGAAAACCCTATTGGAACCCAATTGTATTTGGCTAATTTCTATCGTTAAAAACCTCTATTAAGGACAGTGAGAGGACACCGAACTGAACTAACAATATTGATTAAGTCCATGAAATACGTACTGTAGTCGGTTAATGTTTTGCACTTACAAACAAATTAAATTTGGTAATGAAAGGTAGCCTTTAACAACATGGAACTTTTATCACAGCACAGAGTAAATCCGTTGAATGTTAATCCTCAACAAACATTGCGCAATTGTTATAACATTAAGCGGACACTTAGGAAGGATCCGAAGGTGTCCACTTAGTAGAGGTTTCACTTCGAGTAAAAAGCAATACGTAACTGAACGAAGTACAATTTGAT